TTCAATTGCTTTACTCTACAAGTATCCACTTTCTAATTTCAGAAATAAAACCTCTAAAACATAGATTTTGGAAATATGATGGATTTTGTTAGGATAACCTTTTGGTAATGATGTTCAAAAACACCTCTCTGCCAACAGACAGTAAGTAGAGACCTACTTGTGTTATATCAGAAAACTGAATAAGAACCAGAGGAACAAAGCTGTTGTTTAAGACATTGAAAATCTACCCAAATTCATGTTTGTAATGAAAGCTACAGGAAATCTTGTAAGAACCTGGAGAAATCAACTTATCTTTTGTTTCCCGGGATTTAAACCAAGACAGCCCCTTGCCAAATGACAGGGAGAATGAAATACCTTGTAAAATACTGATGGAAAAGAATCCTTCCTTTTGGAATCACAGGTGTGAGATCTGACGACCTTTGAAGTGTTCGGAACAACTCTTCTGGTCTCAAAACCAGTCCTGGATGGGCCAATCCACTCATGTGTGTATTGAACTATTGACCCTTCCATTCAAAAGGCAAATAAAACTTTTCATCCATACTCTACTCACAGTAACTAGATGAACCCACAATTAAAGTAATGCTAAACAGAGTTCTAGAAACAGAAAATAGTCATTAAGAAGGGCAAGTTTTTTGGTTTCCTTTCCCACCTTCATGCCCCACCATGTCCACAGGGTATGAACACATTAACCAAATGATGAGCAGAGTCCTGTCGGGAGCTTCCTTTGGGTAAGGAAGATCCGTATCAGTGTCTGGACTCACAGAACTGTAAATCAGCTACAAATATAGTCTTCCTGCGGCTGTGGCCAGCCCAGTTTCGCCTCAGTCTTCATCCTGCTTCATCAGAACAAGGTGCTCTCTCGGCATGAGAAAACAAAAATCCATCTTCCAGTCTAGGCAGGAATAAAGCAGGGAATACAAACTTGTCCCACTTCAAAGCACAAGGCATATCTTTCACTAACTAAACAGCAATCCCAGCAGGGGTGACAATGAAAGCTTTCTTCCCTATTATTGTTGGAAACAATCACAGGCTATTTGTTCATATTAATTAGTTTATATCTAGTATTAGGCAGCCTTGATTAGAAAAACCACTCTTTGTTACCAAATGAATAGAGTAACAAACAAAACCAAAAGCTTTTTAAAAAAAAAAAATGTTGTTTTTGCCTAGAAAAGGATTTTTGCCTTATAAAAGGATTGTCAGGCCTTTCACACTTGAATGTGGGCTTATCTCTACACCAGTCCCTGAATTCACTCTAAAAGAATGCAAGTTGATGTGCCAGACAATACCAGGCGAAGCTGATTGAGTGAGCTGATTATGCCTTGCCTAAGGAGATGCTGTATTTAGAGTACTTTTACCTTCTCTGAAGCTGGGAAAAACTTGATAATAGGAGAGATACAGCATACAGGTTGGGGGCAAGGACAGGTCAGTCCTGGACTAAAAGTTGGCTGCACACATTTCATGTAAAGACTTGACATAAAATCAGGAGGCCCATCATCAACCAGAGGATCCTGGGAACCAAGAGCGGAAGAGCCAGCTGCCTCTCCCTGGGATCTGATGCCCCAGTTTATAGCTGATTCCTTCCAAGTGGGCTTGAGTTCCCTAAACTATCAGAGGCTACTACTGTTCCCAACATGTGGTAAGAATAATGGGGTTCACGGCCCTGGTGGAGATTAATTAATGAACTTGTTCAGCAAAACGGACAAAAGGCAGGGTGTGAACCCACGTCTAAGACTTAAAAGCTACACAGGTTTCTTCAAGATTAATGTTCAGTTCCTGAAGGTGGCTTGCAAGGCCCTGCAAAATCTTCCCCAGCCTTGTAACCTAACCCATCTTCCTCCTCTACAATCAGAAGTATGCTGATAAATATTCAACAATAGGCTCTTAGGAGTGAGGGACTGAGCTTGCCAATTTCCATGATGTAAAGACTCCACCCTGGCTGATTTCAAGCTCCAAGCACGAAGTCAATGGGCTCACTCAATCCCTGAAAATGTAACTATCAGATCTGGAGGGCTGGCAGAGCTGGCTCTAGCATATCACCTATCGCAACCTCACACCCCACTAGTCTGCAACTCCCCTGAACGGACCTCCAAATGCTGTGCTCTCTCTCACCTGGGGACATTTGACATTCACGCGTGCTACTTACTCTTCCTGAGCAGGATAACTCACACTCATTCAGAAGCTGCCAGCCAGGTGGTCTTCCCTCAGGAAGTCTTCCCTGACCCTCCAGGGCTTTCCTGGGTGCCCCACTTTACTCCTAGAGCACCCATACTTCCGGTATCGCAGCGTTTGCAACACAGCACTGAAAATTTTTGTTTCCTTCTCGGTCTGTTTCCTCTCTAGACTTCTGAACCCTGGCAGGGCAAAAGCCTTGTTTTACCTGATTTATTTTTGTTATCCTCAGGCCTGCCACAGTGCTTGCTGAACAAATACACCACTTCGATGTACTGAGCAATATGTGGCAGACACTGTTCTAAGTTTTACATGTCTTATCTAATTTCATCCTTAAAAAACCTTATGAAGTTGGCTTTATTATTGTTATTATGCTCATTTTGCAGCTGAGGAAACGGTGGCACTGAGGGGGGAAAACCTTTCTCCTCCATCCTCCACTCCTATGTGCTCAGTTAGAAAATGCTGGAGCCAGGATGCTTCTGGACCAGAGTTTCTTGACTTTATTTTCCACTGGTGACTCTCAAGGAAAATGTTTTAATTAGATTTAAATTCTACCCTAATGAGAGAAATTAAACACTAAAGAATAAGATTTCTTCATTGAGGGTAAAGCGTTGGAGGGATGTTGCATCTACGAAGATCCAATTTTTGCCCTCTTGGGGGCAACATCAATCCCTTTGACAACATATGTTCTAGACCTTTCACTATGCAGTTACATTTGCATACTATATGTTTATCCCTTAAAAATACAGTCTTGTTTTACAGTTTTTATGATCTCTTCCAATAAGTATTATTCTGCATCTTGCTTTCCTTTCCCTCCATCAGATATCTCGGGGAGATATAGCTGTGTGGAGATATATATTTATCATTTTTTAACTGCTTCAGGTATTTAAATCACATCAACATGCCTGAACGTATGAAGTTCTTCTACTATTGTAAATTCAGGAAGTTTTGTATTTCTTGGCCTTCAACTAAGGCTTCAATAAATGTCTTTATGCCTGTCTCCTTGGGCTCATGTGTGAGGGCTTGTCTAATGTAGATACCAAGATGGGAACAGGGTATGTGCAGAGGCATATAATTTTAAAGGTACTGTCAAATTACCCTCCAGAATGGCTGTCCCAATTTTATTTCCCCACAGAGCATTTACAAGAGTACACATTTCCCCAAGTGTTTACATTAAATATGACCTCTTTCTGCCTTGGGTGGTGTTAAGCATTTTAATTAAATGAGTCATTTAAAAATATTTATATTACTCACCCGCTGATAGTCGCTTGTGTAAGACGGAAGGTGTGCAGATAAGATGATGCTGTTGGAAATGCTGACGAATAATAGCAGCGAGGCGGGAATGTGAAATGCCTTGTCCAGAAAACCTGTGCTAGCACCTAACTTCACAAAAGGCTAAGAATAATCACTGCAGGGAAACAGCTGCAGTGGACTTTGACACGGTGACCTCAGGCAACAGGCACTAAGTCTTTTGACCCATTCACCAAGTCTCTCAGGCACCAAACACACTACTGAGGGGAATGGAAACCAAATACCCAAATTCAATGAAGACTTGCAAAGACAATAACCCATTTACCAGAAAGAGAAACCACATCACAGCATACACACCACTAAACATCCTGAAAAAGAATACTAAAAGCTTTAAAATGTTAAAGAACAGCAAGGACTTTATCCCTATGATCAAATGCCAAGGTCTTTTAGAAGGGGAAAAAAAGACATTTAGAGTAAATAAAGTAAAAATGCCCCTTTCTGCCTCTTCTTCCTCCTTTCCCTACCTCACACATACAGATAGCCCCTACTTGAAATACATACACAGTTTAGTAGCTTGCAAAGTAATACAGAAAAAAAAAAAAGGGTGGAACAACATTTTGTATCAAGATTCATATTTCAACCAATATGGCTCTTTCTCAAAAGTGTATATTTTCCTTTAACCTTGGCCTAAAAACGATTGTCACGAGAGGGGAGGTCACACTTCAGAAGGCTGAAGGGAAGGTGAAGGAACAGCAAATGGGAAACTACACTTGTCGGGCACTTGCTATGTGCTTTGCATCTATTCTGTCATTTAATCCACATAACTGTCCTGTGAAGTACGATTATAAAAGAAACTGAAACGGAGCGAGGTCAGCATGACTTGGGCCCCTTAACCAACAATCGGGATGTGAATTCAGGCCTAATGACTCCAAAGTCTCTTTCCTCCTTGTGCCACGCTGCCTGCCGAAACTGAAAGAGTCCAGGTAATACTCGAATAGATCAGATTGTCAAATAACCTGAACAAGGCAGTGTTCCTGCTGTATCCTGCTGCGAGTTCTCCACTGGAGAGAAAAAGTAACTCACATTACAGTTGCTCAGAGGTTTCTAGAACTGCATTTTCTTTTCAAAGTTACTAGACGAGGTCAAGGCTTAATAATAACAACTATAGGAGGAGGACAATGAGACAGCATTCAGAAAACTTGCTGTAAGATTAGATCTGTTCTGATATATTTCCTTATACCCTAAAACAGCCAAAAGAGGAAAGGCAGCTGGATTTACTGCTGACTGTCTTGATTTGGAATTTGATGTCTGTAGTAACAGCCAAACATCCTAAAGGGCCACTGAAAACCAAGGCCCCTATGAGCAGAAGCCAGTTGACTAAAATCACTTGCTCATGGTTCCAGCTGCTTCTTGAACTAAATAGCACTGTGCTCACCTAAGTACTATTATCCAAATGCCCACCAAATGATAATTAGAAAGATATACATGATCCCCAAAGTCAAACACACATTCTGAAACTCAACTTGAATATTCAACAAAACTATGATTAGCCCAAACCTAGGCCAGTTTAAATCACTTACCTGGGGCTGTGAGATCACAGGGGTGGAAGTGGATGCAGTGGCCATGGTAGCTCTGCAGTTGTGGGCAGTGACCAGGCCCCCAGCACTACAGCGCCAGACACAAGAGTCAGATTCTCGTGGCTGCTGATCAGATCTCAGTCATGCTAGGAGGAAGTGTGTACCTGGAAAAGGAGGAAAACCCACAATTAGCCTAGGAGCACTACCATGGGAGTGAAGTACCATTGTCCAGAGGAAGCAAAAATCCCTTCTGTCAAATGCCAGCTACTAGCTCAATGAAAAGAGGGTGCATCTAACACCTCAATGCTAGGATTTCTGTACCAGTCATCCAAATCATGTGAAGGTGATGCATTTTTATTTGAATCCAACTCTGCATGCTAGCTCAATATTTGGGGGAGGTAGTATCAAGTTGTGAAAATGGGGAGACTGGACCGAGGGAGAAGCCACCCTGTCATTAAACAATAAAGGAATCAAGTGACCCACAATTGACAGCTGAGAGTTTATATACAAAGGGCCAAGAGAATAATACCATCAAGTGCCTTAGAGATCACTCAGTTCAACCCTGCCCGCTAACAGATGAAAAAACTGAGGGCTGGAGAAGAGAAGGGACCAGAGTCATACATTCATTAATGGCAGAACCAGCACGAAAATAAGCACCAACTCCCAGACCAATATGAAATACAAGAAGGTGAACGTGTTCCATATTTACGTTTCCTCAAGGAACTTAATTGCCACTTTCAGGATTAAAGAAAGGCAAGACAGCCCAAAGTTACAGGAATCAGTCACAGGAATGAGCCAGGTACTCAGGTGTGAGAAGAGGTGGGGGGAGGGGAGGCTTATAAGTCAGACTTCCCCATGTGTGAGGATGAGCATGTTTCTAAAACCCTTTGACATCCTCCAAGACAGGATGCTAGATAAGCACGAAGTAGAACTAAATCTTCCATTATTAATATGTTTTTTAAGAAAACTCAAAAAAAAAAAAAGCTAAATTCTCTGTAGTAAAGCATGGCTCAAATTCTGTCAAAAGATTGATGTGATTGTTTCCATGATGCAGTTTGGTCCAGAAAGGAAATGTTTTTCATTTTAAGAATTTAAGAAAACGCTTCCATTTTAAGACAATTTTCCATGTTTAGATTGTTTTCCTACCACCTAGCAATATTCTTTTATTCAAAGGCTATTTATTGAGCATGTATAGTGAACCAAGGGCATGAGGAATAAAACTAACCCGGCTCCTGCCTTCAGGAAGCTTTTGTCTGTAAACACACTTTCTAGTTGCACAGCATGTAAGATGATACCTACATACTTTTAGACGATTAGAAAATGATACTTTGAATAACAGTGAAACTAATGAACCAAGATCACAAGATCCAAGTCTTGAGCAGTAGGAAAGGTGAAGCAGGATGCTTCATCCAAGTCCTCTGACCCCAAATCCTCTGGTAACACTCTACATTAGCTAGATGATGGTAAGCAAGTGACATGACCTCAGAAGAACGGTTTCCTAAGAAATCATCTAGGTTTGGCAGCAGCTTCTATGAACTTTAACTTTTGATTTTATCCTGTCTTTGTGTATTATCCTTCATACTATAGTTTCAATCCCTTTAGGTTTTAATTGTTTAGAACTGTGACACCTCCCTATGTGCTTCTGTCTGTTACTGACAAATAAGAAGTAAAGCTGTCAAGCTGTTTTGGTGTAACATTCAACACAAAATTCCACAGGTGCCCTGAGACAACAGTGATGTTCTCATTAGTCCCAGTTTTCTGGGGAGTGGCGTGGAAGACCTGTTATTTACCACACTGTGAATTTAAATGAACGGCCCAGGAGAAAGGTCTATGTATATTGGAAGGCCTTCTCTTTCATGATGGCTGCTTAGAGTGAGAAGCCTACTCTGAGAAAATTACAAGCCCCCATGGTGTGCTGTTTTGTACTGAACTTCATTCCTGGCCATCACTGTGTGCTCACCCCTCCTTCTTTATTTTTCCTTTTTCCTTCTCGTGTATTTATAATTCACATGACCTTGCTCTATCATACGTAGGGTGAGCAGATGAATATATAAATAGCATGATAACCAAAAAACAAGACAAGCAGGCAAGTGAGATTCCATCCTTAAAGACTCATACTGTGTGCTCAGATCCAATTATAACATCATTTCTGCCAAGCTAAGTCATTAAGCAATATAACCTTAACATAGTTTCAATATTCAGAGTACAAGGAGTTGCCCAAAAGGTGAATCCTGGGCTCCTAGCCTGGAGTAAGGGAAGGGATATACAAATCAATGTGACAAATCTACCACAGGGCATCAGTGCTGACAACAAAAGGGGAAAATGTGGGTGACTGGAATTTAATGAAAGCCTGCCAGACATTGAGCACTTGAGCAGTCATTTCACATACAGTTTAGGCAGATATTGTTAAGTCATTTCACAGATGAGAAAGATGAGAAATTCAATGCTTTGAAAGGTTGCACAACATACCCAAAGTCACAACAGCCAGGAAATGTGGGCGCTGAGTCCAGAACCAGGACCCACGCTCTTCCCATAGACTGACACTGTAAGGGAACAAAATTAAGAAGAGACAGAAAGTGCGTGGAGTCCTTTGAAGCAGAAATTTCAGGTAGTCCTGAAGAAAGCAAGGCGAAATCAACTGTCCTGCAGAGTAACTATTCTCCCCACACTGTGAAACAGAGAGGCCTGTGCTGCTCTCATCTATACAAAGTTTTAATGACATGTTCCTAGATTTGATTTACGTTACGCATCCTTGAGATGCGTAATACAGATTGTTAGTTTGGTATCTTCAGGAAAAAAATAAGGCAGAAAATTAACTGCCTTCGCCTAAAGCACTTAAGACATCTCTAGTTTTGAGGATTTCATTGGCCATTATAATGTAAGAACATTATAAGAGCTCTTTATAAAATGGTGTATGGTTACTTAACTCTGAAAATACAAGGACTAAGCAATACTACCTCAAAGGGTAAAAATCAGCTCTCTCACGGGAGTGATATCTTCCATTATGCTTATGAAACCTATTTACTTCCCAACTTATTTACAATACTGGGCAAATCATGGGGGAGCTAGATACAATGACAAAAAAAGGTAATATTCTAAGTAATACTGCTGTTCAGTCCCTAGCTAAGTAAACTGGTTTACTGTCACATACTAGTCCCCTGCTTTCCCAGAGCCCCAGACTGTCAGCTACAGAGTTGCACAGATTTTTTTAAAGAAATACATCCCTCGTGAACTCTTCCAAATATCTGGATACCTGTCCTATAGTTCTTCCCATCTGTCATCAAACCAACACTCCATTTCCTTTGCTTGAGCTCCAAGACTGTGTTCCAGCTACAGGAAACCACAAAGCAGTGTGGGTTGGCCCCACTAACCCCAGCTACCCTTGGGTCATTACTGTTTCCCCTTCTCTTCTTCTCTACTTGTCTCCATTTTCTAGTCTAGGCAACTCTTCTAAGCTATATCGCTCTTTGCAAAACCACAAAACTACCTCTAATGGCCCTTGCTTACAAAAGATGAGCTTTGCTGCTTATTTATTTACTCGCCTATTCATTCATTCCCCTATTGTCACTGGATATGAATTATTTCAATATATATTGTATAAAAATACAATTTACAAATAAGAAAGCTACATAAGCTCATTCTTCTGTAGCAGATTACTAGAGAAATCACCAATTAAGTATAAGAATTGCAAATAACCTGAATCGGCCCTAGAAGCCACAGATGGATCCCAACTATTGCTTAAACTTCTAGAAATACACACTAGAAAAAATCAACATGGGAGGTTGACAGAAGGTAAGGCACAGCATCACCTTCATGTGAAGCTGCAACTGCATGGGCAGAAAATCAGCAAAAGAGACCCCAATAGACTCATAATGACACTCCTAGTTCAGCGGGATGAGGGTTGGCGGGAACTAAGCCAGGGAGAGTTGGAGTCTATTTAAAATACACTCACTCCTTAAAAGGGGCTCCTGGCTCCAATTGAGAAAGTGATCTCTCACTGCATTTACTTCTAATTTGCATGTGGCCATGATGAGTGCCCCAGAAAACATGTGGGGAATAAAACACTCCCAGCTGGCTTCTGATATGAGCAGCCATGCCAAGTGACAATAACCTTCCTAATTACTAAGTGCCACACCAAATACCTAAAAGAAAGTCTGGTTCTGAGGCAAACTTCATTTTGATTACTTCTGCAGCTGATGCTGGCTCCTAACCCTAGCCCTCACAGGAAGATGAATTTCTAATTTGCAAATTAATCTACTATAAATCTAAGCTTTTTTCTTCATCTGGACTTGAGTCAAACAGTGACTCATTTCAGTCTCCTGAAAAATCACAAGGCAATACCTGATACTGAATATGCATAGACTTTCCTCTCAAAGGATAAGTAACAGAGAAAAATCCAAATCCCTCAGGCATATGAAAAATTACAAGGGAAGAGACGGCTCTAGAATCAGAGCAAATGTTTACTTTAGAAATAGGTATACTACATAAAAGAAAACTTAAAAAATATAGGCTATCAGAAACAAGTCTGCATTAACCAAAAAAAAAAAGAAAAAAAAATCGGATTTATGAACTTCAATGAAGGCAGTTGATAAAGCAGAAAACAGAATTAAAAATAAAGCAGAAAATGGTATTAGTAGAGAAGATAAACCAGAGATTGAGGGAGTAGGGGACAGAACTACATGGATAAAGAGTTTAAAGCTTCCATCCTGAAAACAGAACAGATGAATAAAAAGTACTAAAGAAGAAGCCATCAATGCTGAAACCAAAAAAGAATAAATTTATCCCCAAACTTTTAGAAAAGTGTTGCACATATATAGAACCATTTAAATCAAATAGAAATCCTGCTGCAGAGAGCTCTATAGTCTGGCAAAAACCAAGTAGAAAAAAACTAAACACTTTCTAATCCCCTTCACCTTCTCCCTTACCCCCCAATACCCACTCCCATACAGCAACAGATTTTTTTCTATGTATCTCTATGTCTATTAGTGTTGTTTGCTCGTTTATTTTCTTCTGTAGATTCCACATAACCCTAAGCCTGGAGGAATAAAATGACAAGATATAGGAAGGCCAGAGCTATAGCTTCACTTTCTTAGTATCTATTCTTTCTATCAGAGCTAAATAGCATCTGAAGCCAGCCTTATATCATCTAAGGCCTGAGACTGAA